ACAACTACTCTTTACAGTGACATGGCTTTTTGCAATGCAAGACACCTGAAATTATTTGTAAAGCTAGGAAATGGGCCAAAATTGAATTTCGCGAGACAAAAATGACGACCATTTTGAAATCAGGCAAGCTTTTGAACCAGGAGTCAAGGGGGAGTTTTTTTGTATTGATGTTGAACAAAAATAACGTGAAACTGGAATCCTATCGACAGAGGTTTTAAGTAAATGGTCCAAAAGAGGATTTCGCGAGACAGATAAACAAATCAATGTTAACTAAAATGGCTGAAAATAAGAAAAAACAGATATAATATTTTGCCGATTTTTTGTAACAAAATTATTTCATTCAACTACTCTTTACAGTGACATGGCTTTTTACAATGCAGGACAGCTGAAATTATTTGTAAAGCTAGGAAATGGGCAAAAAGTGAATTTCGCGAAACAAGAATGGCGACCATTTTGAAAATAGGCGAGCTTTTGAACCAAGAGTCATAGGAGAGTTTTTTGTATTGATGTTGAACAAAATTAACTTAAAACGAGAATCCTATCGACAGAGGGTTTAAGGTAAATGGTCTAAAAGTGGATTTTGCGAGACAGATAGACAAATCAATGTTAACTAAAATGGCTGAAAATAAAAAAATGGATATAATTTTTCGCTGATTTCTCGTAACAAAATTATTTCATACATCTTCTCTTTACATTGACATGGATTTTTACAATGTAGGACACTTGAAATTATTTGTAAAGCTAGGAAATGGGTCAAAAGTGAATTTCGCGAGACAAAAATGGCGGCCATTTTGAAAATAGGCGAGCTTTTGAACCAGGAGTCATAGGGGAGTTTTCTGTATTGATGTTGAACAGAAATAACCAAAACAGGAATCCTATCGACAGAGGTTTTAAAACGTGCCACTGTTATTGACGAAAAGTGGATTTTGGAGTCAGATAGACAAATCAATGTTTACTAAAATGGCTGAAAATAAAAAAATGCATATAATTTTTCGCTGATTTTTTGTAACAATATTATAACATATATCTACCCTTTACATTGACATGGATTTTTACATTGTAAGGCACCTGAAATTATTTGTAAAGCTAGGAAATGGGTCAAAAGTGAATTTCGCGAGACAAAAGTGATGGCCATTTTGAAAATAGGCGAGCTTTTGAACCAGGAGTCATAGGGGAGTTTTCTGTATTGATCTTGAACAGAAATAACTTAAAACAGGAATCCTATCGACAGAGGTTTTAAAGGAAATGGGTCAAAAGTGAATTTCATGAGACAAAAGTGACGGCCATTTTGAAAATAGGCGAGCTTTTGAACCAGGAGTCATAGGGGAGTTTTCTGTATTGATCTTGAACAGAAATAACTTAAAACAGGAATCCTGTCGACAGAGGTTTTAAAACGTGCCATTATTGTTGACGGACAGACAGACAGATGGACAGACGGACGGACGGACAGACAGATGGACAAGTGAGTGATTGCAAAAGCTTACCATTTAAACAATAGATAACTTAAACAAACAACCTTGTTTCCTTAAGAATGGTTGTGCTTTTCTGTGTTCCTTTAATTGTTTTTTTCCTTTTGCCATTAATATACATTCAATATGCAATATGCAACCAAGCAATAACAGACATTTTCAAAGCAACAACAAAAATAACTTCTCCAAGTTATGCCATCAAAAAGTCTAAACAAGTCCAGAACATGAAAATGAGTGTCATTTTTAGCTCACATGGTGAGCTTTTGCAATCACTCACTTGTCCGTCTGTCTGTCCGTCCGTCCGTCCGTCCGTCCGTCCGTCCGTCTGTCCGTCTGTCTGTCTGTCTGTCTGTCCGTCAACAATAGTGGCACGTTTTAAAACCTCTGTCGATAGGATTCCTGTTTTAAGTTATTTCTGTTCAAGATCAATACAGAAAACTCCCCTATGACTCCTGGTTCAAAAGCTCGCCTATTTTCAAAATGGCCGTCACTTTTGTCTCGCGAAATTCACTTTTGACCCATTTCCTTTAAAACCTCTGTTGATAGGATTCCTGTTTTAAGTTATTTCTGTTCAAGATCAATACAGAAAACTCCCCTATGACTCCTGGTTCAAAAGCTCGCCTATTTTCAAAATGGCCGTCACTTTTGTCTCGCGAAATTCACTTTTGACCCATTTCCTAGCTTTACAAATAATTTCAGGTGTCCTACACTGTAAAAATCCATGTCAATGTAAAGGGTAGATATATGTTATAATATTGTTACAAAAAATCAGCGAAAAATTATATCCATTTTTTTATTTTCAGCCATTTTAGTTAACATTGATTTGTCTATCTGACTCGCGAAATCCACTTTTCGTCAATAACAGTGGCACGTTTTAAAACCTCTGTCGATAGGATTCCTGTTTTAAGTTATTTCTGCTCAACATCAATACAGAAAACTCCCCTATGACTCCTGGTTCAAAAGCTCGCCTATTTTCAAAATGGCCGCCATTTCTGTGTCGCGAAACTCACTTTTGACCCATTTCCTAGCTTTACAAATAATTTCAAGTGTCCTACATTGTAAAAATCCATGTCTATGTAAAGAGAAGATGTATGAAATAATTTTGTTACGAGAAATCAGCGAAAAATTATATCCATTTTTTTTATTTTCAGCCATTTAGTTAACATTGATTTGTCCATCTGTCTCGCAAAATCCACTTTTGGACCATTTACCTTAAACCCTCTGTCGATAGGATTCCCGTTTTAAGTTAATTTTGTTCAACATCAATACAAAAAACTCTCCTATGACTCTTGGTTCAAAAGCTCGCCTATTTTCAAAATGGTCGCCATTCTTGTTTCGCGAAATTCACTTTTTGCCCATTTCCTAGCTTTACAAATAATTTCAGCTGTCCTGCATTGTAAAAAGCCATGTCACTGTAAAGAGTAGTTGTATGAAATAATTTTGTTACAAAAAATCGGCAAAATATTATATCAGTTTTTTTTTTTTTTCAGCCATTTTAGTTAACATTGATTCGTCCATCTGTCTCTCAGTCAGTCCAAAAAAGTGGCAAGTTTTAAACCTCTGTCAACACTTTTTAAATCCTCTGTAGATAGGATTCCCGATTTAAAATAATTTTGTTCAACATCAATAAAGAAAAAAAACCTGTGACTCCTGCTTCAAAATCTCGCCTAATTTCAAAATGGCCACCATTTTTGTCTCAGGAAATTCACTTTTGGCCCATTTCCTAGCTTTACAAATAAGTTCAGGTGTCCTGCATTGTAAAAAGCCATGTCTTTGTAAAGAGTAGTTGTATGAAATAATTTTGTCACAAAAAATCTGCAAAAAATTATACCCGTCTTTTTTATTTTCACTTTTGAGCAACACCATGTGAGCCCAGTACCCACGGTACTAATTTTTTAATCAATAATCAAAGAATGAAAAAAATCTTGTTTTGGGATATTGGGGAGTTAACAGGTTGTATCATCTCTGAAATTGACCAACAGACTCTTCATTTTTACTCATTGGAAGAATTAAATTCATAGAACAATAAAAATCAAAGGGTCAAACGTTGTTTTTTTGTAAACTGTCCTTTAAAAATTAAGTTATACAGTAGTTTTAAAGCTGAATGGTCATCAAGTCATTGGTGTTACGGTAAAGCATGGAGCAACATTTTGCCAGTGAACAACTACTTCAAATTTTAAATATAACTGACCCACTTTATACATAAAAAAACATAAAAGAAAACTTGACTAATATTAGTTGATAATAGATGGCAGTTTCATCGAGTTAATAGGAGGGAAATCCAAAACTGAGAAAATGATAAATATACAAATTAATCCCACATTCTATTATCTATCATGGTTGTCCCTTGAAAAATGCTAATACAAATTTTGATGCATCCAAGTTGATCGGGCATTCTACCTAGCACCCCGATGAAAAGTGACCATTTCAGAACTTCTCAGTTTCATACATAAGAAAATAAAGCGTCAAACCATTAAGAGCTTACAGAAATTGGCGAACAATGCCTTCATAAGTCAACGCATTGTTAAATCCTTCTTACTCCATCAGTTAAAAGCTTAACTATTGAAATTTGTTAATGCGCTTAAGGCTGGCCCTTTATTTCTTTAATTTACTCAAATATTGACCATAGATGAAGTCAAATACGGCATAAACGAGTAACTTAGATTGTCAAATGGAGAGCACTTATAACAACAAGATTTGACGCAGTCTCCTAATCGGGAAACAAAGCGTGCGAATATTAAATATTGATACTTCGTTAAATGAAAATATTAGGCTATAGAACATGGAAATCAGCTTAACGAGCATATGTCAAACCAAATAAAAGCAAGGGAAAACATCAAGCAAACTTGTGTAAAAAGTGATTGAAAAGTAATTTAAATTTTATTTAATCGGATTTTTTGGTGCGATAAGACTATTCGTTACTAGGTTACACAAGTTAACGAGTGTCAATCAAACCTATGTATGTGGAACCGACAACTAAAAATCATGATAATGCTAGATTTGAAGTTTAACACAGAAATTGAAACAGTAAAATGTGATACTAATAGGCCATGGGAACAAACTTATTTATTTGAAACTGCCTTTTGGTTCAGTGTAAAAGTTCCCTATCAATTACAATCACACAATATATGCCTGTCAAAGATTTTATAAAATATTTAACTTGTGTAATGTAAAGAAATAATTTCACTAAATCCTAGTTTTACAAATCATGTTTGACATATTTTTGACAAGTTAAATCCAAAACGTACATTTACCTAAATATGTTATAGAATTTTGGATAAAATACACACAAATGAATTGATTAGATTTATCAAAAATTCTAAGGAATCTAGCACCTTTATAGCCTGAGACGACTAGACCTAGCTTAGGTTAAGTTAAAATTTCAATAGAATGTAATGTCATTTAATATTTCAATCTAAAAATATTGGAATTATGAAAAACAACACCACTTCACCGTTGATTATCCAATTTCAACCTCACAACAAAATCTTGACTGGTCTACCAGAAAGCGATTTTGTTTCCAAGTAGGCACCTCGCGAAACACTTTGACATAAGAACTTAAAAATGAGGTAATGCATTTTTTCATATCCTAACTACTAAAATTATGATTAATTATTTAGGTCTAGAAAATGTATAATTTTACTATTTTTTTAGTGTAAATGTATCATTTTATAAAGATATACTATCTTTTTAGTGTTTAAAAGCAATGGTATTTTTTGTTTGGGAAATTTAACATTTTGCAATACTTACAGAGCCACAGTACGTGTTATAACATTGTATTAACATAAACTTAATTTACCTAGCGATCTCAAGCCTCTAAAATACAACACAAAATGAACAACTTTTCAACAATAACAAATGTTTCTATAACATAAAAGTCCTTTTAGAAAATTACAATCTGCTTAGCACTTATTAAATTTTATTCAAATCTAAATCCCAAACATAAACCACTTCATACAGGGAAACAAAACATTGATGATAACAATTTGCGAGAATTTACTGACAGAAAAATTTAGTAGGGAAGTTCGACCCCAAACTCATTAATTCAAAAACGATGTTACAAATCTATCAAATGCAGTGTTTACGATCGGATGTTTTTGTTAAGGATGGTGCAAAGTTCCTATTTTTACCAAATTCTGACCAAATTAGGGCCAAATTCTCTCAAAACTGCAAATTTTTCTCATTTGAGTGCAAAATGTCTTGGATTTAGATTGTACCAAATCTCATAGCAGCTGTCATTCAATCTTAGAAAAAATGATCCTTTATTTCATGTAGACCATCTTTTATTCAATTAACAAAATATTTCAGGAAGCTGTAATAAGAAATGTGACTTATACGCTTTGTGAAATGACTTAGATGTATGTTATATAATTCAATTGTCATGATTAAGAGTCACTTATATTTAGAGATATATCCATGACTCTAATATAAACTGTTTGCTCTAATGGAAGGCTGGGGTAAGCAACCTTTATTCAACAAAATGTCAATAGGATAAAGATGGACTTTATCATGCACATATTACATTTTGGTTCAATTGAAAATGTCAATGTAAATGATAGAATTCCCCCAAAGGCTGTTATAACATTTGCCGACATTTAATCTTTGTGTTAAGGCAATGTATATGCTGGAATCATGACGAGGCAGGGTATTTGTGAATTTGGAAGCTTATTAAGGTAATCTGCACGTATTGCTTGTGATAACCACATATTCTACGAGTCTAGTGAGAAGATTTGTAGTTTTGGAAAACAACTTTGGTAAGCAAAATTAAAATCATGTCCAGGAATACGTACATGTTACTATGAACAAGGAATAGCTTATTATTCAATATCTTTTGCATGTATTCTTAGAAAATTACTCAGTAAATCATTAAAATGAAAAAAAACTATTTTTCTAAGAAAACCAAAATCGCGGATTTCTTTTTTGCGCTATGAATTTAAATTTGATCCTCATCCTCATCTGGAAGTTGAGTCTGGACATAAAATAACATCGATATTGATTCTTGACACATTTCAGTGAAACAGTTGAAAATTGTTTTGAATTGTAGATTTTCCCACCATCTTTAGCTATTTCCCCTTTTCATATCTCGTTAAGCTCAACAATTGGTGGGGGTTTAAGATACATGTAGGCACCTCTATCGTTTCTTGCAATTTTTTTCACAGAATGAATTAACTTGTTGTATCATTGGTATAAGGGCAGAACAAATTAAAATTTACTGAGATACATGTATTATTAAACTTCAATAATAATATATTTAATTTTTAATTATATGTAAAAATTCAGGTAATCAATATTTCTATAAAATTTAATTTCTGTAAAATATAATTTTCCAAATGATATACTGTGCATGTATTCACTAAGTTTTCAAATATTATCTCAATTTCAAATTCTTTTGGGTTCATTCCTTTTCATTCATATTTTCTAAAAATATCAAAGTTCATAATCCAATCCAGGAAAACACTAGATTTAACATCCAATTAGTTCACACAATGTAACAATAAACCTTATGAATTCAAATATTACAGATATCATCAGTGTTCTGATTGATTCACACCAGGCATTTCATTCTATTACTATGGGGCGCATTTCTACAAGCATTCTTAAATTCATTAATTCATAAGGCTATTGTTCTTTAACCATGACATCATGATTTCCATGGTCACAACAATGGATTCACGAATATTCATTGTTAAGAATGTTACAAGAATGCCTCCCTGATAACAAGTGCTCTCATGTATGCAAGTATTCGGGTTACACATGGAATACCTGTGTATTATTACTGACCATGCATTAAGTCCCATTAATTGTATAAAACTCAGAAATCTTTCAATTTCTCCGGAATAACTAAGAATTCAAAGGATGGAGTGTAACTCATGAGTTGAAAAGTATTGATTTTAATACTTGAATAAATGATCATCAAACATTAAACTGTGAAATTTCAGAATGTTGTTTTAACAGATATTATGCTGACATATTAGATAAATGTTTCTCTTTTATGTATTTCACAACTAGATATATTGTATGCCATAATAATAATATTGTATGCCATGATAATAATAGTGTATGCCATAATAATAATATTGTATGCCATGATAATAATATTGTATGCCATAATAATAATAATATTGTATGCCATTTTACAGGAACAAAAGGGAAATTATTCATTTGAAACTTGATCATCAATGATTTAACTCCTACTACTAATTAGACTGGCGGAACAAGTATATTAGATTCTATGACTCAACAAAAGAAATCAAAATTGCTATAAGTATAATCATGAGACATTATACAAATGATATAATATATAACAACACATGCTTTAATCAAATAAAATGATTTATAATTGTCATGCAGCAGTAGACTTATCAATAAGATCTAAAAGAGACACAAATTGTATTCTTCAAATAAATCCAAATTCGGCCCTTGATTATATTTTATTCGAATAGTTTTTAACTCCCCAAATAATAATTGGTTGCCCATCAATATAAACCCTGACATCTTATCAGCCTAATTTCCTAATAAATAGGATAATATTTTTTGTTTTTATCTACATTCACTTTCCTTTTAATGTACTCTCATTATACTTTTGTGGCAAGTTGCATCATTTTGATTGCAATAGTAATCAAAAAGGGCTAAATAATTAATAAGCAGACCCAAACGTTATCCCACTGGACCTCCCCAAGAAATGTTACAAATTCCATGTTTATCCAATATTTTAGGTATTACCCGTGTATAACTCCTTGACTAACAGGCTAAAAGATCAACAATAATGAAGTAGGGCTTATACAAAACACATGCAAATATAATCTAAAGCAAACATGTTTAATTTATTCATTCTGTTGATTTAAGATCCGACAACTTGAAGGGATTCTTCAAAAGGAAACAAAACAGGTGCCAAGCAACGAATCTGTGGGTGGTACCTATCAGATGAAATCGTGATGAGATAATGGCATATAAATCGCCAGTGAGTCCAAGAGACTACCAGATAATTTTGGACAACATAACTAAACCAACAATCGCCAGTAAAGCAGCACATTGCGAATTTGACGCACAAGATGCTCATATTGATTATATACTGAGGAGTGATCCTGTTTACCGCAAAGTAAAATCGCCAAGACCAGTTCATGACTCTGATATTGATAAAATAGTAAATCGTGTTACCACACCAACAGTGGCAAGCTGTGTTGGCCGAAGGAACTTTAACCAACAGGCACAGCATTTCCAGTACCTTTATAAGACAGATTATAAGTTTGGTCGACATAAAAGAGCAAACAGCGCCAAGGAAGTTTCTAATATTACATGTAGAATTCGCTCTTCAACAATCGCAAGTCAAAACAGGGAGATTAAATACGACATTCATAGTCACTATAGTAACCACTCCAGCCGTAGTCTCCCAGACATTGCCATGTCAACTGATGACAATAACAAGCCAACTTTGCAAGGAAAAGGTTACATGTCAGGTTATGACCGTCACTACGGAGGACTGATGACGGTAAATCCTGGTGAAATGAAAGATATTGTCACTAGACTTACAAAACCTACAGTCGCAAGTGAGGGAGGAAAGGCCTATGAGAACAAAACATTTGTCTATGTACCTACTCCAAAATTAAAAACTCTGCCAGTAATCGCTGGCTTAGAGACTAGATATCTGGGTGGGAAGAAAGTTAGTAAACAGGAATTTGAAGAGATTATCAGCAGATTGACAAGACCAACGAAGGCCACACAGGGCCCAGCACCTACCTGGGCCAAACGACCCGCAACCAGATGAAGCTAGTTTATCTATATAAGCCTTGCTCATTTTGTCATGCGAGAATGGATTAAAAAGCATTTCATATGAACACAAGATCTGGGTGATGTTAAAAGGTGGTTAGAGCTCATATAAAAATCAGAAAAATCAGAATTGTAAAAATTCACCTAAATTATGGCAATGATCGATAAGCCAATGATCACAGATGGAATACGAAAAACCATATAGCAACAAATAGACTAACAAATGATACCGAATAAATGCTGAATATGTAGATGAGATATATCAAACAATGATGACCAATCGTGAAGGTGATGAAGGAATATTATAACCTTTAATTTTAATTACAAAATCAGCATGTACATTGGAGGACATGAAGCAAAGCTAAGGATAGGTATCGATATGGTGAACTGAATTCAACAATGTTTTTCTCTTAAACCAATAATTGAAAATATTCTGTAAAAAACAACACGGTATTTTATGCAATGTTGACTGATTGACAACAATTTAATGCGAAAATTATTTAGAAATATTTTATAGAACTGTTTTTGTTAACATTTTTTGTGTTTTTAATGCAATTATTTTTGCTCCTTTCTGCCAATTCTTGAGAATGAAATAAAATGTCTTTCCGGACCTTGATTGTTGGAACAATATAGCATATACAACATGTTTTTAGACCTCTCAATATTATAGTTATGCAAATGAATTTTTGGTTGATTTTAAAAAAGTATTCAAATTTTTTTAAAAATCCCCCCAAAATAGATAAGAACAAGATAAACCTTTTATTTCATTAACAAGATACTTTTTAAAATCAACCAAAATTTCCTTTTAGTACAATTACAATATTGAGAGACCTAAACATGTTGTGTTTATGTCGTTTTGTTCCAATGAGGTTTGGAAAGATGTTTCATTTCACTCTGGAAACATGATACCAAGAACAAAACAAGTGTTTGGTGTGTTTTCTAAAATAATATAGATGGAAGTATATAATATATATATCTTTCAAATTATATTGTTCCCATTGAAAAGATGACTATTAAATTGAGGATGTGTTAAATTTTAAGATTTTTTTATGACTGGTTTAAAAAAAACATGTGTTCAAAAGGTTCACCATATCGATACCACTCCTTTAATATACGAGTTCTAGTGATTTTTTCTTGCATATTGCTGCCGTACCTCGAAATTCTCTCTAGTGTAGGTCCTGCTTGAGAATTTGAGAGAGTTTATATTAGCCAGGTGCGAGACTGAATTAATTTTTTTAAACAGACAAAATACTTGGTGCATATACAGACTGGCATATACCACAAATAAAGATGTTGTTATCATAGGTTTCAACATATTTGAAAGTGAAATTGATCCTACCTCCTTCTTTAGGACTCCACTGGGACAATCTTTGATGAAATCTCTGTACCTGAAATAGTGAAAATATTCATTGAGAACATTTATTAGCTACTTAAGATATATTCTTTATAATATTCGAATAAAAGCTAGCCAAGATACCAGATAAATATTACCAATAAGTAAAGTTAAATTCACATCAGATGAATCCAAACATTTTAATGAAAGGTCATATAACTTATCTTACATGTGAGGGATGAATTTCACTTTCACATAAAATTTATATAAGGCATTCTTTACAAAGGCAATACTTACTAGTAAAATTCCTTGAGTTGACTTTAGAATAGTCAGAATATTCTGTATATCACACTTAGTATATTTGGCCATTTTTATGTCTTATTATGCATATGCAATTTTGTATATTCCTCTGTATAGACAAAGGCGTAGCCAGGGGGGTCCCCCATAAACAATACAAATACAAACCTGAGATAGAGGAAGAAAAGAGCTTTAAAATGCTTTTTACTGGAAGCTTCTAGCTCAATTTTGAAAGAAGTTACATCAATAATTGTAAAAAAACTTTTTTTGACTTACTTATGCCTCAATCGCACCCCCCTGACTGAAAACCGAAATTTTTTGGGCAATTGCACCCCCCTGACCGAAAGCTGGCTACGCCCCTGATAGATGTAGGGTTTAATTAGTTTTCTCGTGAGTAGAAGTCGCGCATATGACTTATGTAATCACGAAATAATACACATGTTTATAAAAGTTCTATTATATGTTTAATGCATTATCTCAAAGAAAAATATATTAAATTACATTTAAATTAACTAGAATAGACTCTGAGTTGATCCAAAGGTATGAAGTATCATGATTATAAATCAAACAGGTCAGTGAATATGGAGTTTATCCAGAAGTAATCAAGTTTCCAATGAGTAACTGTATGTAAATGGACCTCTAGGAGCAGGTTGATTTTACAAGAAATTACAAGATTCCCACATAATTTATTAACTCAAAAGCTGCTCCTAGACATTGCCCATTATTGTCTGATGATATCATAAAGGTAGATATAAGTGAAGTTAGGACTTCAATAGACACTGGCGGATCCATGGGGGGGGTCCCATGGGGCTGGCCCATGGCCTGAAAATTGGGACTTTTTTAGCATAACTTGGCCTTTTATGGGCTTTAATAGGCCAAATTATCAAAAACTGGGCCTTAAATTTTCATAATTAGGGCCCGTTTTTTGATTTAAGGGGCCCAAAAACTAATGAAATTAACAATTTATTGAATATGTTGATCCAGCTTCATATGTATTGTAAACTTATTGTAGATTTGTAAGTATTGTATAAGAACACAATATGAATATATGTTTAATACTAATAATCAGCATTTAAATAAAATATTTTGATACTATACTGTATTTATGGTAGTTTGTTGATATCATATTTATAAGAGATTATATTAAGAGTACATGTATACACGTACAGTATAATACCTATCGAATCTGAATGCCATGATCGACAAAAAATGGGATTAGGAGTTCATATTTCAATGTATTTTGAATGCATGGGTGAATGGGAGATAAATTATTTTGGACTGAGAAAAGTGTTCACATTGAGAGGTGTTCCTGTTAAAGAGTTATTTGATTATACAGATTGCAAAAAAACATATTCCCTCTTTGAATGAACTTACATCTGAATTCACTGCTATTTAACTTAAAAACACAACTTTGTGTAAGCTATATTTCTGTAGATAACTTAGTATAGATTTGAAAATAGATTGGACAGAATAATTAGCAATGACCTTGAGCATGACCCATCCCCTCTCAATTAGAACCTCCTATCATGATAACAAGGGAATTTCCCCATGAGGAACAATCTCTTATAGGAGATTAATGCCAAGGCAGATATTGGCAAACAGTTGAACAAGTTGAATTGATGTTTAAAGGCAGAATAAGATATATAGGGGTGACAAAATGACAAGCAACAGGTATAATTGACCTACCAATCTATTCCTTACAATCTCAAATACAATCTCCAAAAAGATTCATGATATGTTATAAATTGGTGAAGTTATAACAGATTCAAAGTGCAAAAATGAGTGAAAATGATTAAATTCTCCCAAATAATAAGAATGGTAACCATTCGTATAGAAAAATATTACATTATTGTAAACATCTTTAGTTTTCCTGAGATAAAGTGTGCACTTTGAGGATTTTTAGAAAATAGACATGACAAGGAATGACATGAGCCAAAAATATTCTAAAATTGAAACAATTTTTTGTTGGCCTGCTTGCTAGATCTGATTCTCTCTTTAATATAACACAAACTATAGTTACATCATTGATTTTGTAATTTAGCAAAAATACATATTATCCAAATTCCAATGATTGAGTAATAAATATCTCTATATAATTTGGATCTGTCATTATTGCGAAAAATTGCTTGGATTAGCTAGTTGTGAATAACTAGCTCTAAGTGACATTTGGAGAAACTAAGCTATACTGGAAATGATGGGTGGCCATTGTATATATCCAAAATGTCAAACATTTACTGAATCCTCAACTCAGTGGGCAAATTCAATCTTTCTCTACCACATCCAGATAAAACAAAGAGCTTCACCAGTATTCATTTGAGACTATACTGTATAAGTGGTATTTAATCCGAGTGGTTAATTTTCCGAATGGTCAAATTTCATCATTTTCCTAATTTTAATTTTCCTAATGACAAGAAACCTCCCATTGGATATCATTATAAAGACAATATTTCCGACATTTAATTTTCCGAACCTGGCAAAAATTAGGAAATAGGCAAATTAAATGATTAGGCAAAATTACCACTTATACAGTATTCCCTATAAATTCCCTAGTAACCATAATCAGTTATTGAACTTCCCCAATATCCATTTGAGACTTATTTCTCAACTTTTAAAGAGAATTCCTTGGTGAACTTAATCAGTTGCTTTCTAAATTGCATGATGAAATTAAGAAGCGTGTCAGTATTAACCACTGAAACCTTAATTAGTTCTGCTATAAAGTAAAAAATAGACTGAAATCACATTTTGCATACCCTTATGCATCAGCCACATTTACAGCATAAAATAAAGGGACAAGAAATACGATGTAGATTTTCTATATCGATTTTGTGACGCTATGACCACTGTACAGCTGCTGTACAGCTGTTGTACAGCTGCCATAGAGCAGATGAGACTCAGGCTTTATCCACTATCTATACTTCCTTCTGATGATATCACAATTTCAATATTGTAAAGGTCTTAATAATCTCAAATGTTGCTTTAATGAACTATTATGGGAGTTGAATGTGAAATTAATGTAAGGTGCCCAAAGCTAGAATTTTGTTTAATGATGCTCTTCCTACATCATGCTCATAAAAAATAAATAAAGGTCAGATCAAAGGATTAATTCTAATTTAAAGAATGTTGATAGTATAGAGTTTAGAGCTCCAAAGAATACCTCAATGAAAAATTGCGATCTCTATTCCACTGTAATTACAGGTTCATCAACTAGGAACAATCCCTGGTCTTTTGAGGGATTAAATCAAAAAATGGTCTACTTTAGATAAGAATGCTTATTTTAATCTGAAAGCTCCAAGGAGACACCTTAGCATTGTAAATGTACGATTTTACATGAAAAAAACATACTGAATTACCAAACCCTCAGATATCGAGAGAAATTGAGGCGGGCGGGGGATTGACTATCACAAATGACAAATGAGGTGACTGCTTTGATAACATTTATTCCATCCTATGTCTTAATCACCTTTGAAGGTCATGCTAACAATGCATCAGTAATTCAACTCATCATCAATGTCAAAGAGATCAAAGAAATAACATCGAGAGTGAAATATCTGTTTGTTACAGTAAAACCTGTCTTAGTGAATATCTATCTCTAGTGGAAATCACATTCCTCCCCACATACTCTACTGACTTCTGTACAAATTACCCTCTATTACGTGAACACCTTCCAACACTGAATGTTTTTTCTTGGCAGAAAAATGTTCAGTATACAAGTTTTAGACTTTATTCAATAGAGGTAATTTCATGCTCTTTCTATGCTTTTTCACACATTTTCCCGAGCACTGTAGATGTTCCTGATTAAATAGCATGCCAGTAATGTGCAAAATCAATAAGAGATCCTGCATTATTGCGATTATCTCTGCCCCGGAGGAACATTTTTTTTACTGGCACAATCTCTCTGAAAATTAACCAGAACAACGGCAACGCCAAAGCGTAGCGAATCCCATCGAACAGAAATGGCTGGCATTTTTACAAATGAAATATATAGCAATATAGCAAATATCATAAAACAACACACCAGGAAGGCCACCATTTTCAAAATGGTTAGCCAAGTTGTCATCAGAAGAAATAATATGCTTTTAGTGCACCTATAAAATTTTTGAAAAATCGCACACATGTACTTGTGAAATAAGTAAAAAATGTAAAAATGACAGCCATTTTTTAAAATGGCCTCCTACTATCTGAAGTGTCATTAGACAGTGTGCAAGGCTCGTGAGTATTCACATATCAAATATGAACAAAATCGCTTCATTACTTTTCAAGTTATAGTAAAAACGTAAAAATGGTGGTCATTTTTCAAAATGGCCGCCTACTACCCAAAGTGTCATTAGACAGTGTGCCATGCTTATAGTATTCACATATAAAATATGAAACATACCAAATATGAACAAAATCGCGGAACTACTTTTCAAGTTATAGTAAAAACGTAAAAACGGTGGTCATTTTTCAAAATGGCCGCCTACTACCCAAAGTGTCATTAGACAGTGTGCCATGCTTATAGTATTCACATATAAAATATGAAACATACCAAATATGAACAAAATCGCTGAACTA